TGCGAAACAGAATGAACAGTTCGCGACTCCATATGCGAACTGGTGAGCGATTGCGACGGACTCTGCTTGTCACAGAGACGATGATGCCTGGTGTTGCTCGATCGATCTCCATGTACCTTTCGAAGCTTCGGTTCTTGATGCGACGTATCAGAAGTGTGCGATTGATTCATCGATCGACTTTAAAGTCTGTTTTGTATTTCCGCGATGCTAGCTTGCATAGCTACCATCGTCTTCGCCATATCAGCTTGCCTAGCTGCTGTCTCTCTCAGATTTCTTTCTATTTCCGTCACACGTCCTTCCATCTTCCCAAGATAGACGTGCTCTGATACCAATGTTAGGGACCTCACCAGTCCAGAACAATTACAGTAGATTAACAAGAAAAACAAACTGAATTCTTATTTGATGAAGAAGATCGGTTACACAGAGAAGCAGTAACAAAGGCCGAAGCCTCCCAAAAGAGAAGAGAATAACTCTCTAATCTTTCCCAGTCCCAGTCCAAAAGTCCCCAAAAGCCTCCTTACTACCTTCCCTCTACATCTATTTATACTATAATACTGCCTAAGCCTTTATTACAACTATTATTATGATTCTTTCTATTATTAATCTAATAGGTAGGTTCCTATCATACTTGGTAACAATTCGTGTTCCTTGTTTTAATAGTCCTATTTCATCTCGCAAATCTGACAATCTAAAAGCATCACCTTCTGAGAACCATTCTTTTAGATCAATTTAGATATCACTCGCTAATTCAATCCATAAAACACTTTGAGCGATAGAGGAGCAGATTGATCGTACCAGTCAAGAACAAGCCATATTATTGCATCTCTCCCATTTCTTGTACGTCGAGTCAGTCACACAGGAGTGGATATAGTTCCATCAATGAAACTCCACTAGTTCTTTGATAGTAGGGCTATTTTCATCAACCTTGACCATTTGGACCTGTAAGAGGGGATATACTAGCGCCACATCTGGACTCTCACTTATGCGGAGATTGATAGGGACCTAGACAGTGTTCGTAATAAGAATAATTTTGTCTTTTATAGTGTCTAATAAAACAGGTTTAGGTCCTGTAACTAAATAGCAGTGGGCTGGCCCATAAGGAATATGATAAATATGAGTTAGGGCGTAGAATAAGGCACGAAAAAAATTAGTTGAAATTGGGATCCGGGAGAGTGAGGTGTAATACTTGAGATTAGTTTGAAGGGATTAATAGTACTACTCATACAAATAAGGTGCATCTCCTTTTAAGGGAGTTCATCATCTAAGAACTACAGGTTAAGTTAAGTGTGTTTGCACGGGAGTAGTCTTGAGATGAGTGACACCCTGGAAAGTTTCTCAGAGCGTGCACGAGCAAACTTGTTAAAAGCGCTCAAAAGCGCGCTTAAGCGCCAAAGCGCTGACGAGCGCTGGTTCCCCGCCTGGCTTTTGGGAAGCGACTCACCGTGAGAAAGCTCCACTTTTCCTTCGCTTTTCGTGAGCTCACTTTTCAATCAAGCTACCGCTTTTCAGAGCTTTTCACAAAAAGCGGTCATTTGTCTGGTCAACTTTTTTTCAAGTTTCAAGTGTTATCGGCTTCACGCTAGAGATTAGGGTTATATTAGTTCGACTTTCCACACACCAGACAACGCCGCAGGTGAAGAAGCTGCTGGTTTGGAGTTCGCCCAGACTTTTGTTCGGCTAGAACTCTCCAACTCGCCTATGAGCCACACATTCTCTTTCATCCAAAGTGTAAACATCGTTCGTCAGTCTTCAGCTTTACTTTGTTTTTTTAGTTTGAAAACTTTCAGTCTAGAGAATAGCTAGCTCTTCAGCATTTTACTGTGTTTTTTTTGTTTGAAACACCTTTCAGTCTTATCACAGAGGACTAGTTACTTGATTAAGGTTTGAATTCCAGTTTATTCCACTAAATTAAATTCCAGTTAATTCCTTTCAGTTTATTGAATAATTAGTTTTTAGTTTATTGACTTTATTCCAGTTTATTCCTTTCTGTTTATTGATTAATTAATTTTAAGTTTATTCCAGTTTATTCCTTTTAGTTTATTGATTAATTAATTTTTAGTTTGTTCGAGTTTATTCCTTTCAGTTTATTGGTTAATTAATTATTAGTTTTTTCCAGTTTCATTCCTTTCAGTTTATTCATTAATTAAATTTTAGTTTATTCGAGTTCATCCCTTTCAGCTTATTCAAGATTAATTAATTATGACTTTTAATACAATTACGTTTTTGCATAATTGTGTGGTGAATGTTTTGTCACTTTTTGCTGCACTAGTATTATTCTTAATGACTTTTTTTGACTACTTGTGCATTTTTGGCTTAATTATACATTACATATTATATTTTTATTTTTATTTTTTATAAGCATCACTTTTTGTGAGAAAGCTACGCTTCGCTTAGCGCTTTCGCTTTTAAGCAAAGCTCAAGGTCATCGCTTTTGGACGCTTTTCGCTTTAAAAAAGTTTGTGCACGAGTGAGGATAAAGTGTGTGGTAAAAGGTGTGCGTTGGTTTATGAGGACAGTATTGAGGTGTGGAGAGCATATGTGAATAACTAACTTGGGCCCTGTGGGGTCGGGTTGTTACACGAGACCTCTCAAAGCCGAGATAATACGGTTGTTAGAATCATTCAGATCTATAAGAGATAATACAGATTGTTGGAATCATTCGGATCTATGATCAGGGATGACTCGGTTTCTTCTTGTTCCAGCAAGGATCCAGATCCGGCTACAACAGCAGCTTCAGAAATTGTTGTCGCTCTGATACTGTCTTACAATTGAAGAAATAGAACTTTCAGGAGAAAAGGAAAACCTTCATTGCTATTCAGTTGGAACAGAAAGTCTTTCTTACAGCACATTCAGTTCATTAAAAACAAAAGAATGCATGTGTATATAATAGGCTACACTACAGATACATCCGTCAAGAAAAGCGACTACATAGATGCTATGTTAGGGGGACTGGAGCTTAAAAGATTTATATTGGGGGGCTAAAGCTTAAATGTTCAATATATGTTTTACTGCTTATGAATATTTATACATATTTGTACATAAATTTTTCTTTGGGGGCCGAGGCTGCGAGCCCCCCTTCAGCTCCTCCTTGTCTTCGCCCCTGCATGGGCCTGGATGTGGGCTTTTTTCTCTTTTTCCTCCAATACCATTTACTAGGTGCTCTGAACTGTTATACTATCTATTAATTTCATAAACTTGTCTACACTTTTCTTCTGAAAGAGTGAACAAGAGAAGAACCGAGGCGAATACATATGACTTTGGTGTGCAAATATACTGCCCTTTAGTCCCTTTACCCAATTACCCCTCTAAAAGGTTACTTTTTGGCTTGTGCCCATTTATTTTCCGGTACTCCTAAAAACAAGATCCGAGTTAGAAATGGATAGATCCGAGTAGAGAGTACTGGAAAATAAATGGGCACAAGCCAAAAAGTAACCTTTTAGAGGGGTAATCGGGTAAAGGGACTTAAGGGCAGTATATTTGCACGCCAAAGTCATATGTATTTCGGATCTATACGTTTCCAGAAATGGATAGATCCGAGGGGTTTCCATCCGTACTCCTAAAAACAAGATCCGAGTTAGAAATGGATAGAAAAGTAAGAAGTTAAAAAAGTCGAATACAACAACAACATGCAAGCCTTATTCCCAAAAGATTTTGGGGTCATCTAACATGAATCGGTCCATGATATCAGAGTCAAAAAGAGAAGAAAGATTAGAAAAATAAAAAGATAAGGTAAGATAAGATGCATAAGATAAAAACAACATAAGAACATATGATAGATAAAAGATAAAAGAGATGAAGGAAGAGAAGAGAATAATTGACCATACATATATGCTCCCTCCACTTTGGTGTCTTCAAGGAGAAGCTTATCAGTTCTAATTCCTCTAATTCAAGTCTGTTTGAGTCTTCCCCTCTCTTCTCCCCACCTCTCAACTCGTCTAACAGGTGCATAACTCGATCTTCAACGCACATAACCAAACCACCGCAATCGAGACTCTTCCATCTTACCTTCTATAGGTGTTACTCCCACCTTTTGTTTGATTATCTCATTTCTCAAACTGTCTTTTCTTGTATGTCCACACATCCAACATAACATACACATCTTTTCCACTCATCTTTGGAATGTGACATTGTTTCACTGCCAAACACTTTAGTGTGGTAAATAATATCTTAATGCCACATGGTACTGTATTATTCTAACAAAACCCAGTGTGTAATGAATAGGTTGGTTGAAGGGCTCTTATGCTTTAAAGGATTCAAGAAGACCATAAAACAACCTGTCTTGACTAGTCTTGATATAAAAAGAAATTAGAATACATTCATGAATAAGACATTTTCAAGCTATAAAAACATTAACCTAAGAGCATCAATACTGGTGGATCAATATTAAGAAGGGGGTTCAACATGCCAAATCATTAGTTAATATGTATATGTTACAATATATTTTTATCCTTTCAAATGATTATCTGCCCTTTTATCATTTTATTCATAATTTTCATCAAATATTTTATTTGAATCCCACCATTTCATCATGATACAATAATCGGGTGATATTTGATATTTATTCATATATTCTCTCTCTTAATATTTCATTCACAATGATTTGGGATTTGGAGATAACACCCTCCTACAATATACCCCTAATATAGAAGTTCTAAGACGAATTAATATGGGTAGATTTGGAAGATTACTAAGAAGTATGTGTGACTTCTTTAAACGATAATTATTTTGGGAAAAAGTTGGCTATAACAACATTTTTTTCCCAATTAGATGGAGGGTAACATCAAACATCATTTTTACATCCCATTCGTTTTCACCCTGAAGTGCTCAACTTTCCATTCATCATAGGTTGTTATGCACGTGATTAGTTTTTGCAACTTCTCATTTCTTTTCAAAGAGGAAGTTTTGTTTTTGAACTCTGATTAGTGACCACCTTTCCTTCAAAATTTAGCATCTAATATGATGGTTATGTTTGATTTGTACGTGTCTATGCGCGCACACAGTTGGCATGATCAAGCAATGCTTTTTGAGCAGTATCACTGGAAGCAAGCACGGAAGAAGAACCAGCCATATAATTTTAAGGTACTCATGCTGTGTCCGTGTGTCGCTCACATCTATCTTTGTTCTTTGTCTAAATCTACTATGTTTCAGGGTCTGTTTTGTCTGGAATTTTGGAGGGGAGGGTAAGTAATGATTTTTTAAAATTTGTTCTGCACTTCTATGGTTGGCAATAAAGTAAATATTAAAAACTATACATGAATACATGATCTAACTATTTAAACATTATTTTGTTATCTAAATCTAACGCATATAGATAAACTAGTAACATAAAAAAACATTACTCCCTTCCCCCTCCATCTGAACTCCCCAAGTGAAACAAGCCCTTGGGGTCCATTTGGAATCCAGGAAATACTTGTGAAAAGTAGGGAGGCAAATACAGGGGGACGGTGGGAAAGATAAATGTGGGGAAAATTTAAAAAAACCTTGTTCAAAATCAATAAATTAAATTTAGACATTCTTCTTAACTCATTAATTTTTTGTGCATTTCTATCTTACAAAGACTAAGAAATCTTAGTGTATGTAAAAGAAGATTTACTTTTATGTATATCAAATATGATTTTTCTTCAAATTTTCCAAGGTAAAATATACTACCTTACAACTTCCGTACCTTAAAACTTTGCCAAAGTTGACCGGCACGAAGAATAATAAAGTAAAAACTGTGTGGTTGAGGCTTGTGTAGAGGAGAGAAATAATTGAAACCACAAAATAATTGATTAAAAGGGAAAACGACAAAGTTTTTTGGGACGTCCCAAAAAGGAAAGATGTCAAAGTTTTAAGGGACGGAAGGAGTACTATTAGAAAGGAATGACTATTTTGCGTAGCATGTTTTTCATTCTATTACCTTTTTCCGTGTTCCAAATATAGCCTTATAAGAAGCAAGTGTGACTTCTGTTTGTGAGCTGCATGTTACCAACTTCTTGGAGTCTCGGAAGTATTAACAGCCACTTGCGTTTTGTTTTGTTGTTTTTTTGGTTTTGTTTGTTTTTTGGCAGTGGAATCAAATGTCCAAAGAAGTTAGAGACTCATACTACTTCAACTGGCCTGTCTATTTTCCATAGGGTTCTTGGATTTGGAATATGCTCATCTAACTGGAAAGAATTCGAGACCCACGGAAAAATGTGTTTTCAATGGTCTCTTTATTGTTAGAATCAAAGATTAATAGCCTTTTCTTTGCTTTCCATAATGGTTAATCGGCACATCTTGACATTCTGTATTATATGGGTATGATTAGGAGACCGTTCTGGTTCCGGTTAGCAGTTCCAAAATTTAGAGTATCGGTACCCTAGCTGGGGATTGCTATTATCGGCCCTGTTCCGGTAATCCGGTTTGCTTGATAGATTCATGGCGTCCTAGTTCTTAGTATTTATTACTTTCAATTATCGATCAATGCAAATAATGAAAACTGCTGTAATGATATATTCAAAAGTTAAAATAATATACACATTAAATAAGGAACAAGCTTAAACATTTTTTAAAAAATAATTTAAGATTTAAATTTTTTATAAATAAACGGATTGTACTTTCATGAAAATTATATGCATATTCTATTTATAGTTTTAGACAAAGTTGTAGTTTTGGATATTAAAAGTATAAGTCCAAAGAATGAATATTAAAAGTAAGAGAATATTACCAAAATTTTATGAAAAAAATTATAGAAACGCGTCAAATTGCTTCTCTTACACTTTGGACGGAAAGTCAATTAAATTATTAGTATGTACTTTTACTTTGATCTAGGGGTGGACTGGTTCCGATTCGGGCCCAGTTCGGGCCTGGTCGGGCCTCAGTTCATGAAAGGGGAGGACCGGAACCGGCTCGGGTAACCCTCGGGTCCGGTCCGGGCCTGGCCGGGCCTCGGTTCATGTAATTTTTTTTGGCTTTTCCTAATTAACCCCCAACCCCCCCCTCACCCCCAAACCACCCCAAACCACCTCAAATGGCCCATCATACCCAGCCCAACCCAAAAACTTAAAAAAATTCAAACAAAAAAAAAAGAAAAAAAAAATAAATTGGCCTGGACCGGCCGGGCCGGTTCACTATTTAGCAGGCCCAGACCTGAACTGCCTACCTCACCGGGCCGGGTGGCCCGAACCGAGCACCAACCAGTTCACTGGGCCGGTCCGGGCCCACACAGTAGCGGGCCGGCCTGGTTCCGGGTCGGTTGGCCCGGCTCGAGTCCACTCCTACTTTGATCAATTATGTTCTGTTAGTATCTTAGTATGATATTTTTGTCAAAAACAATTCTTAACAGGCCTCACTTGTCGACAGGTTAATATGTTAATTGTTGACATAGCACACATGTGGATTGACACGGCGCACACGTGGTGGCACATGTCACCTTTTTTTATCCCTTTTTTTTTCTTTTTTTTTCCTTTTCCTCTTTTTTCTTTGTGCCTTTCTCTTTATCGTTTCCTCGTTTTTTCAGTATGCAAACATAGGCGTGAGCAAAGGCATTGATGAGAATATCGATGAGAGCAGACTTGTCATATCTTGGCCGTTGAGCATTCTTGCAATGCCACAATTTGCACGTCAAAGTACAGGGTTACCCAGACCTCCGGAGATGCAAGTCGGACACCCAAGACTTGTTGTGCATCTCCATCTTGCAGGTCCGATGGTCGACGACCAAGTGCTCCTCCACGTCGACTGTCCTTGCATCTTCCCTGGTGTATTCTATTGGTCGGCGTCCGCCCAATTTCCTACGATTGTCTTCGTCACAGTTTCATAGCTGGTCATCTTCGTTGCAGCAAGACTCAGCTAGACTCACCTAAACCTGAACTGCAAAATTGAGGTTCAAAGGAGGAAGAGCAATGTATGTGCGGATGGATTCAAGCCATGGATGAAACCCTATGGGTGAATTAAAGCCATGGAGCAACCCGCGCAAGAAAGATGAAAGGACGAACGGGGAAAGAGAAAAAAAAAGAGGAAAAGGAAAAGGAAAAGGAAAAAGAAAAGGGAGGGGGGGGGGGGGGGGGGTGGGTGACATGGGCCTCCACGTTAGCAAGTAACTTGATGACCGACGAGTTAACTGCTAAAAATTGTTTTTGATGAAAATTTCATAGTTGAAGACGTATATGATGAAAGTTAAAGTATGAGGGCTAAATTGACTTTTTGTAAGAGTAGAAAGACCAATTTAACACTTTTTTCTCAAAGAATTATGTTCGTTTGAACTTTGTCTCTCCTTGGCCGTGTTAGCCTTATACGCCACTATGATGTTGGAGCGGTAACATTCATTCTTGTTGTCCACATGAAAACAGAGTGTTTCAAGTAGTTTTTGGATGAAATGCAAATGCATAAATCACCCGGAAAATAATAACATCATAGAATGTATAATATTGGTACGGAAGGGAGTGGTGTGGTTTTTAAGAAAAGTAGAATTATGTGGTTGATAATGAGTTGATAAAGTGGGAATAAAGTAAGAATGAATTAGAGCCACACAAATTTTACCAAATTTGGTATGAGACAATAATAGGGGGACATCCAAAAATGGAAAAAATGGGACAATTATAGGGGGACGGAGGAAGTATCTAACAGTTCACACCCCATCCCCACCATTCGGTGTTGAGCAGGGAGAAAGATTTTCAAAAACAATCCAGCACATCCACATTAGCACGGGACAAGCCCCAAGTAGTATATATCCAAAAAGACAGTTGTTGAGAATATCATACAGAATTCGAAGATGAAGATGGAGAACAAACGATGCTTTTGGAATTATTAGCGGAAGAAGATAAGCAGGTCTTAGGGTTTAGAATCGAAAATCTTACTGAATAAAATATTACAAGAGGTATTTATACTATAATGACTAATGGTCTAATACGAATGGGCTAAAAGATAGAAAGCCCAATGACAAAATAAAAGAGTAAACAGATCCATTAAGCCCATCAGTTTGATCCAATAAGCTTTATTCTTGATAACAGTCCATCAAAAATAATCATAAAACTAATCGGGAGCCCAATTGCCTAAGCCCAGCTAGTCTCCTATTGTCCGTTATTGAAAGGCAACCAAAATTACAGTAGTAGAGTCCAAAAGCCTGAATGCGCAAAAAGCAACACCATCCCACACCCTCCAGGCTTTCCCACGTTCCCAAGAGCTAGCAGACCAATCCACTAGGGTTTCTGCTATGTGAGGCCAAATCTTTCCAAAAAGAGGATGTAACTCCATCCCTGAGGGTCTCACAGAATCAATCGGATATTTATCTGGGAGAGAGTGTGTGCTTCTGTCCCAATCCACGAGGTGTTTTGCGCCACCTCATCCCTAGGTGTGTTTAGGCCCCTCCTTTTGCCTCCTTTTAGAACATTGGTTTTAAGTGATAGTGTACTTAGTCCTTAAGAACATTACTTTAAATTCTTGTTCAACGAACACTATGATATCAATAACAATAGTTCAACCACAATTGTAAACTTAGTTCTTTTAAAAATGGTTTCATGGTACTTTTTAAAAAGTTTTTTCTCGAAGAAGAAGAAAAAGAAGCCTCCTTAGATGGACCATGAATGTTGTCAACTTGTCATATTGTGTATACATTGATTATGTAAATTGTAAAATAAATTGCACATTACATTTAGTGGCGGATATACAAAAAGCAACCGTTGGAAGCATACTCTTAAAAATTTGATCAGAACACAATACAAGACTACTTATATCTTAAACTAGATCATGTTATGACAAAATTTAATTTATAGAATGTGATTGATTCACACAAAATTGAATGAAAACTACCGGTTTTATTTGAGTTAAGAGTTATATCTTGAGTTGAATAAATTAGCGAAAAACACCGCGCTAAAAAATATATAAAGATGCAATTGTTTTCAATAATTTATTTAGCCCACCTTGATTGAATTTTAAAATAATATTTGGTGGACATAATTCAAAGAAAATGCTCAAAAACATTTATCAAAATGATCCATCTAGGAGCACATCAAATGACAAGGGCACCTTTAGTTATTTAGAAGCCCGAGATGAAAAACATTCTATATTCACATATCATGTTAATGTTATTTATATAACATAAAAGTCATAAAAATGAGATAAATCGAATAACAATACACCAAAAATAAAGGATATTCAATGTACACTGTTATAAATAGGGCAAGGTTTTAAATGTGAATATATGCAAAATACATCACAACTTGTTCTTAATACTTCCTCCGTTCCTTAATTAACTCTACATTTTCCTTTTGGGGTCGTCCCATATTAAACTTTACACTTTCTTATTTTCCTTATATGGCAAACAAATCTACACCAAACAGTGTCAAATAATGTCAAACAATGTCAAACAATGTACTCTACAGTAAAGTCAAATTTATTTCCTTAATATGTGTGAAGTCAAAGTGTAAACTTCATTAAGGATCAGACGGAGTATCATATTGGCCTTCTCTTGACTTTTGAAGTGCAAATTTAGTAAGAACATGACAACATTATGTCATGTACCTATCATGCCAATATGTCAAATTAGTTAAATTACAAATACAGAACAACTAAATTACCAAATGTGCTCATATTACCCAATAAATTTCGATACATTGTTTATACATTGATAAATTACTTCGGCAAAAATTTATAGATTGTTTCATATTAACTGGTTTTCAACATTCCAATATTCCTTTTTCCAATATTCACATACGGAAACATAAAGAAATAAATAAAAATGGCCTTTTGAAATCATATCCTATATACATATATGTAGGGGTGGACCGGTTCCGGTTCGGGCCCGGCCGGGCCTCGGTTCATGAAAGGGGAGCCCGGAACCGGTCCGGGTAACCCCCGGGTCCGGTCCGGGCCGGGTAACCCCCGGGTCCGGTCCGGTCCGGTCCGGGCTGGACCTCGGTTCATGTAATTTTTTTTTGGCTTTTCCTAATTAACCCCCAACCCTCCCCCCTCACCCCCAAACCACCTCAAATGGCCCATCATACCCAGCTCAACCCAAAAACTTAAAAAAATTCAAAATAATTCAAAAAAAAAAATTGGCCCGGTCCGGTTCACTATTTAGCAGGCCCGGGCCCGAACCGTCTACCTCACCAGGCCGGGTGGCCCGAACCGGGCACCAACCGGTTCACCGGGCCGGTCCGGGCCTGCACAGTAGCGGGCCGATCCGGTTCCGGTCCGGTTGGCCCGGCCCGAGTCCACTCCTACCTATAGGCACAAGCCACACAACCCCTCCCCTCACAAACTTTCCTACTTCTCTCTCCCCATTTACTTGATGTTCTCTTACCCCAAATTCGTTTACTACCTTCTTTAGTAACCACCGGAAATCTCTCCCTTTTACTATTTTGATAATAGTTTTCTCGCACTTAAAATATTTTGTAATATAGTGGTGTAAGTACGAGTATCGTCTTCATAGGGACGGACAAAAGGGAATTAAGAATTAAATAAATTCAGCGATTAAAAATAAATAAAATAAATACGTCGTGCGAGATTTGATTGATTGGGAAAATTAAATTGCGAAGAAAAAA